ATCCGTTGTTGGATAGAAAAAAAACTATTGATATATATTTGTATGTAAATAAAAAATACCGCTGAAATATTTTTTGACGTACAGATTAAAATAATTCTCTTTTTTCTCATCCACTACCCTTAAAGGATTGGTTTTAATTTGTGTATTTTGTTCGTCTGTCTGTAACAAACGTATAAAAATAAAACTCTATATATTAGAGCCGTTCACCAATACGGTACTCTACATATTGCTTAGTTCTTTCGGATGGTGACTGCTCGTGGAGTAAGACACATTTTAGGCAGTTCCAGGACAATGTTTTGGGTGCTCTAGAGGACATACCCAAACACCCTTAACTTACGATACAAAAGCAGTAAAATGATGGATATTGACTGTACACTTTTCTCCTTTATGTATATATATGTATATATATCGTATTTTATATTTTCTGTGTATGAATCGAACTCTCGGCCAGAAAGACCGATGTATTACTAGTAATCCTATTTAAGGATGATCCTGTGAAAAATAACATCTTAGGAGTGGAAGAGCGATAACTCCTACAATATCGATATGTATACAATCTCCGATGCTATGTTTCACGACTCTGGCAGATTTTACATCCCCTCCTTTCTTAAATACCAAAAGATTTATAAGGTACACGTGTATTTTGAGCAATTAATTTTTAAGGAAAGGGAAAAATAAAGTTATTACATGTATATTAAAGCTGAGATTAAAAGAAATGAAGATTTTGTATTGAATTAACTAATGAGAACCCAATAACCACCGACACAAAGGAGGTCCATTGGTCACAAAAAAGTCACTGTGCTCCAGAAGATTTTTTAATGATATATATTCCTATGTAAATCCTTGATCCACATCAACGACCCAACCTTCCATTAAGGTTTCGTGATGTGAACACACTATCTGAGGATGTTTCCATATGCATATGACGAATCATAGCTTTACTGTTCTTGAAAAGAAGATTTTAAAAAAAATTTCCATTTACATTAAAAAACTTTGATCCCCGAAAGATTTTCACTATAAAATTCAGTAAAATTTTGATTCCTAAATTCTTTTATTTCTTTCTACAAATTTGAATTCTTTTTTAAAAGATCCGTTGTGCCAGGTTAGGTAAAAATTGACCCAGTGGTTCTGGATAAGAAGTAAAAAATGGTAAAAATTTACAGACAGACGGAAGACGGAAGAGACGGATGACAAACAAAATGTGGTCAGAAAAGCTCCTTCTCCTTACCTCCCGTACATTCATCTTTTATGAGTTGCTTCAAAACACACTCTTTCAATTCATTGCATTCCTTTCTTCATCCACTTTCTCCTTTGCTCTCTATGTTTTGAACATATTTTATTGTATAATTTATACAATGGGATTGGTAACAAGTTCTTGCAACTTAAAAAACCTCTCCCTGTAATATATACAATAATTAAATTAGTGATTGCCAAAATAACAATTTAAGGTGTAAAGTTATACATATACAAGATAAATACAAAATATTTCAAGTTAAGACACTTACTAAAGATTCAGAGTTCTTACAATAAGTAGATCTATAATGATACATGTATAATCTTTGGAAAGAAAATATATGACAATAATGATAATAAATAATAAACATGGTCACAAGTAAAATTATCGCATCATAAACAAAGAAAGTTGTACAGATATGATTAAATGACAAAGAAACAGAAGAAGAAAAACGGATCAAAATCTACCTGAATCACGAATGAACCTTTGGACACAGTGAAATATTTTGTTATTCACATCAACTGACAATGAATCATTACCAAATAATAAGAGATGGGAGTTGACTATTGCCAAGTGATTATATTGTAAAATATTGTTTAAGAGGCAATTTCTTGGCCGCTCATATTTTTTACATACAAAAAAGAAATGGTATACATCTTCAATTTGTCCACATGAACAGTTAGGAGAGTCAATTATATTTCTTCGATAAAGATCATTATTAAGTACACTACTGTGCCTTAATTTTGTGTGAATTATATTTAAATAGCGTTTCCCATATGAAAAATACGAAGGTGGCTTTGAGGGATGTGAACATATTCTTGTTTTAAATTTACTAATAGAGGTTGTGTCTCTCACGTCTTTAGAAAGGGAATTCCAGGAATTAATTGCAGAGGGTACAAAAGATTTTTTAAAAGTTTCAAGTCTACATTTGGGAATAGAGTAATCTTCTGTGTTTCTTGTATTATATGTAGATTCAATTCCGCGAGTTTTTGGAAATATTTGTTTAAGATAATATACAACATTGTTGTGTACTTTAAACATAGTGGTTAATTTAGCTGTTCTTCTTCTCGTAATTAGGGGTTCCAATCCTGTCTCTGAATAGAGAATTTCTCTAGAAATAAAAATCGGGAGACCAGTGATGGTTCTTGCTGCAGCTAGCTGGACTTTCTCTAGTTTTTCTATATCGTAAACTGTACAGCCGTCCCAGACAACTGAGGCATATTCGAGATGGGGCCTGACAAAAGTTGTATACATTTTTAAAAGAGTGTTTCGTCCAAGAGTGAATTTGAGCTTTTTCAAAAGGCCAAGCTTTTTATATGCAGTATTAACAACGCTATCAATGTATACAGACCAGCTTAAATCTTGTGAAAAAAGTAAACCAAGATGCTTATGTGAACATTCAAATTCTAACTGACACTGTTGAAAGTAAAGTTTAGGAAGCTCAAAATCTTTTTTCAGTGAAAAGAAAACAGCTTTAGTTTTTAAAGGGTTGAATTTGAGTAACCATTTTTTAGACCATTCGTCTAAAATATTTAGATCGTGGTTAATGTTATATTCTATACTGGCAACATTTGACGAAGAATTCTGTAGGGAATTGTCATCTGCAAATAATCTACATAGTGACAACATGTTTTCTGAAACATCATTTACATAAATTAAAAAAAGTAGGGGACCAAGTACAGAGCCCTGCGGTACCCCGGCATTGATGGTCATGCTAGAAGATAAGATATCTTTATACAATACTTTCTGGCTCCTACTATTTAAATAACATTTAAACCATTCGTAAAGATTGCCGGATATTCCGTAAGTTTGCAGTTTAAAAAGAAGACCCTTGTGCCAGACTCTATCGAAGGCTTTTGATAGATCGCAAAAGACCATACAACATGACTTCCCCTCATCAATACTTTTAACTATACTATGGTATGTTTCCAGCAATTGGTAAACAGTTGAGTGGCCAGGTAAAAAACCTGCCTGATACTTGTAGAACAAATTATTTGCATGGAAATGGTTATACACGTGTTTAAATATTATTCTTTCCATAATCTTACTAACGCAGCTCAATAAAGAGACCGGTCTGTAATTTGATGTTATAGAAGGGTCATCTTTTTTAAATAGAGGGAGAACATGAGCTAATTTCCAGGAATCGGGAAAAGAGTTTTCCTTCAGAGACTTATTAAATAACATACAAAGCGGTTCTGAAATAGTTAGAATGGTTGATTTCAACATTTTGTGACTAATGCAATCTGGTCCGATAGCTTTATTTACAGGAAGTATTGATATTACATCAATTATTTCCTGCTTTTGAATGACGATTTCACTTAGCATATAGTTACACAATAGGTATTGGTCGGGTAGGTTGTTTCCAATGTCTTCAATATTCGATATAGAGGAGAAGTATTTATTCAGTGCTTCAACTTTTTCAAGATCAGTAAATGCAGTTGAACTGTTTCCGTTATCAGAAATAAAGTGAATAGGGGGAATATCTGATGAAAGTTTGACCCCGAAAGTGTCTTTCATTAGTTTCCAGTACAATTTGTTGTCATTTCTATTCGCAAATGCTCTCTATCTCCCATTTCGATGATCTGTCCCCCCTCTCCCCAACCTCTCCCTCTGAATCTCTTTCCCCACCCTCTCTCTCCCACCTTTTCTTTCTCTTTCACAGCCCCCACTCATTCTCTCTCTCCTTTTCATCCGCTTCTCTCTCTCCCCCCACTTTGTCTATCTGTATTACGTATATACTCTAAAAGTCTGATTAGAAAAACACACCATATTTAAACCTCTTCAACATTCGTTTATGATGACAATAAAACTTGAAATAATTTTATCAGTCACGCAAGATTCGAACTTTCTTATTGAGACAGATAGTTAAAACAAGAACACGTTAAACAAAAAATTCTAAAAATAAAAACATGAACTCAGTAGACACTACAGTTAAAAAGAGTTTCACGAAAAAAATGTTCACGCTCTCACTTATTACAAGTGGAAAATCATTAATGTGACAGCACTCTCACATACATGATTTTTGAAAAATATTTAAACGTCTTTTTAATTTCAAAACATGACTTTACTGGCAGAGAATGGGGCAACAAAAAAAAAATAGATTTATTTATCAGAAAACTCTAAGATTGAACCGAGAGGGAAATAACTCTTGTAAATGTTTGATTAACGTCCATTTCGAGAATTTTTCACTCAAATTAAGGTACCACCCCTTACTGGGTCCACGTGGAGGGCTGCATATTTTTCTTTACTATGTCTTCAGCCGTGAGGGTCTCTTTGTGCCTCCAGAATCTAGCTTTTTACAATCTCATCATAAAGTCCGTTCTCCAAGTCCCGCATTGGGATTTGAACCCGCGACGTAAGAATCAACTCCTTACTTCGCGCTTTAACCACTGCGCCACAAGGGCAACTCTAGAAAACGTAAACGTCGTCTTTTATGGAAAAAATCTATTCTGAAAACCGTCTAAAATCATAAAGAGTTACCTATTAGGTAATTTTGTATAGAAATGATTAAGTTAAACAAATGGCATTAAGGATGAAAAATCAAAATACCATGCACATCTCCGATATATGCAAAAAAGTATCTCTGATATATGTTCAATCAATCTACAAAATAAACTAGAGTTTGCCAAGGGAAACTTCTCTAAAGATATAACTAAATCTAAGCGTGGTCAGCTATTTATATGCAGATCTTCATTGGTCGTCAGTAAAAGCGAGGATACTTTCTCACCTGGCGTAATTCAGGTAAATATGACATTTTAAAGATAAAGTGCCCTCCCACCCGAACACGGTGAAGACGACGCTATCTTTCCTCCGACACCGAGAATTGACTGGTGCGCTTGAGCGGTCTACATTCCGGAGTTACCCCATTGATATCAACAATATTATACCAAAGCTCTTAAAACGTCAATAGTTTGCGGAGTATTTCCAGCGGACGTGGAACACCAGTTGTTACCTCCCCTTAATCATTGATATTACTACAAATAATGGGAGGAAAGGTACGTTTATGATATTTTAGGCCCCGATTTTTTTTTTCTGAATTGTTTATGAAGACTGTTTATTATTTTCCTTTCTAAAAAACTTAAATAAAGCAAAACATATTTTTTTCTGTTAGATTTCAATTTTTAAAAATTTATATGTTGTATGGAGTAACAAATGATTGTGTGATAACATTTTCATTGATAAAACAAATTTTACCTATCGGTCTCGGGGTCAGATAATGCAAAACTTGAATGAAGTGTTTACTTTGATGTATAAACAAATATTTTTGTTTTTATAATTAAGTATAGATTTTCTAATAAAAATATGAATTTTAGTCGCAAAAAATAGGCACGTTATATTTCCGCATATGAAGATATTACCTGGAAGTTTTTGTTTGGAATATGATTGCAAAATTGGAAAAAAATTAAGCTTGTCTAATCAGAATGATTGTCTTTATCTGTGAATTGTTTATATGCGGAAAATAAAGTACCCGGTGGGAAATTAATTCGAGGACAGGTGCGTAAGAAAGTATAATATGTACCCCCCCCCCCTCCCCGAAAAAAAAAATCAATATCATTTTGTTCCTTGTAACTAATTATCATTCCCTTTATAAACGGTGTAAATATATTTAATCCGTATAATTATTGTGCTTTCTGTTTATACAGAATACAATACATATAACCAAATATGTACATGTACCACCATACATGTACATCGCAATGCATGGATAACATTAATATAAATGATGTATTATAATTATCGTGTTATCAAACATTCTGTTTCATTTTGAAAAACTGATTGCAAGTTTCTATCAGTTGGTGACATATGGGCAAAGAAACGTGTGACATTGTGAAATACAGAGTACGTGTTACAGTGAGCTCATAATTCATACTTTATCTGCTCTACAATACGAGTGTATAAAAGTACCATGTTTTACGACTTCCTTTAATTTTCCCACGCTTAATGGTTAAATTTCTGTTTAAGTTTCTATTTTTAAACAAGTCAAAAATAAATTATTTCGATAATTTTCAAAGACAATAATTCGCGTCAAAATACTGATTTCGAATCCGTGAAAAGATATGAATGTAAATACAGACTTTTCATCCGTTAAAACAACTTTTTTCAACAAAAATTTATAGTTCATTATTGTATACTTTTGCGTTAATTTGGACTCATTTATGGCACCATTTACCGACAAAGCCCTTACCGACAAAATCAACCCGTATATATATGCACTGACATTTTTATACATATAAACATTTCACTGTAATGTTGGTGTAATATACTTAAAGTGCATGTTTTTATCATTGACACCAAGTACTACAGATTTATTAGACGACGTATATATTCGAAATGTTTTATTTTCCCCACAAATCAAGGACGAAGAAAGGAAAATGAAATATTAACAAGGAGTTATTTTCAAATATTTATCACCATGCCCTTTCAGGATTACTTAACCTTTTTACCTGTCTTATCAGTTGGGTTTTGGGTAGTAATAAACACTTCTTGTAGGGGCTTTGAAAAGCAATGTTTGAAAATCAATCAATTTCCTGTTATCATTTGTTTGCCGTCTGCCAACTGCTTCTTAAATAACCTGCAGAATTGGAATCGAAAAGAGCGGGACAAAATTTAAAACGTTTAAAAGACCCCAAAAAAGAACCAATATTAGCATTATATACACTTGGTATACTTTTTTAACCACTCTGCAACATGTACAAAACATGTACAAGTACATTCAGTGCTCAAATAGAAAGTTTTGTTCTTGAATGTCGATGGCTGTGTTCCGGGTAACTATCTTTATAGAGTTGAGATAAGTCAAAAATTGTCATTCATTCGGTCATCTCAATCACCCATAAATCAGTGGCAATGTTATAAACGAAATCCATCGAGGAGTGCTTATCCCCCATATAATGCGATAGACTATCCTTCGACTATATAGACTATTTAGATTTAGAAATAAATTTTATACGTTGCTAATTATAAACTATAAAGGACAAATCAGTCACTTAGTTTAATAAATTTTAAAGTGTATAAATGTATAAATTTCAGCAGTTAGTTTGTGATATATGGTACTTTTCATATACATGTATATAAATATACCTGTCTACAAATTGTCAAGGCGCAGAAGAGGTAGATTATTAATTGGCGTCAGTCAAAAGTTACCAAAATACATAAGAACATCTAAATTTACGATCGTTAAAATCTTCAGGTTCGGCCAAAAAAAATTAAACATTTCTTTTTTTATTTTTTTCAAATTAACCAAGACACCAATAAGTGACTAACAAGAAAAAGTAACAATGTTCTATTAAATGTCACTTTCCGAAGTCTGCAAATAAAACAAACTTCTGTGTGGTAACAAAGTTATTTAGAACAGAACTGTTTTGAAGGGATGCCTACAAAATAGGTTTTATTGAAAAAAAATTCAACACAAATATATATTTACAAAGTATCGAGAACAATGCATTTTATATGTATATATTTTAACATAATTACGACATTGTATTTTGGAATACATAAAAGCGATCCATCTGATCGCGAATTTTACACAAAGATTAATCGGGTAGGCGTTAACTACCAACATGTCAATCACAACTTCTCAGATCTCATTCTTTAATTTAAAAGGAGCTTGTTGGAATTTCAATGACCTTGAAGATTTTATCTTCTCATAAGTTAATGACCGGGGGGGGGAGAATAATATATGACCTGACCTTAATTCTGAGATAGAGTTTGAAATATTTCTAACTCCACTGCTGCAATTACTGTGGTCTTTTGAAATATGACGATACACGACCTTTGCGAATAATACTGCATGTTGTAAGCAATGAATCTTTTTTTTTTCTAATCAGAACTTACAAAGAAATGACAATGAACACAAAAAGCATAAAACGTGGGAACATGTGAATTTCTGCCACACTTTAAAAGCGTTCACAATAAAAAACTAGAGGTACTGTGAGCAATGAGCCCACTAAATGATACCCACCCTCCCATATGATTATAATCGAAAAGTCCATGTTTTGCTGTGGCCGGGAAACCCAAAATATGTGTCGGATCAAAAAGTAAAATAGTAGGTCACAATGGCAATATGTAATAAAGTTTCTATGAAAGTTTCATTAAATTTTACTCAGTGGTATAAGAGGAGTTGCGGATAAGAGATTGGTACCCCAAAGCGTAACAGACAGACGGATGGACGTCAGCTAGACGTACAGACGGACATACCGATTACAGTATACCCTCCCACTTTTCAAGCGGGGGGTATAAAAATATTTTTTTTAAATTGGTTGATCATTTAAGTTTTTAAAAATTATATTGTAGAGAGCGGAGTGGTCGAACCCTGTGGAGTTTATTTTGACTTGTGTGGGGTTTGCTGTCGGTCTGGGTAATGTCTGGAGATTTCCCTACTTAGCATTTAGAAACGGAGGAGGTAAGTGTAAATGTCATTAAATCTACTTACAATGCACAATAGAATTGTCATCATATGCAAAAACACGCAATTTTCCCGATCTGTACAACGGTGTGACGAATGTGTAAATTTAAGTTCATAGGATGACATTTATATTCACGAGTATGCATTATCCAATTTTGGTTACCGAATAATGTCTTTATTTTAAAACACAAATAAAAGTCGTATGTAATCAAATTTTGTACAAGACCCTGCATATAGTATTTTCCTCTTAATCCAGGCACGACTACGGACCATAAAGTACTGTATCATGGTAATAAGATCAGTTATATGTAACATGCGACATTAATTGTGTTGAATTTCAATAAGATGTTATTTAACCTTGTAATTCTTTGTTACTTTCAGGGGCTTTTCTCATCCCGTACTTCATCTGTCTGGTGTTCATTGGAATCCCCCTGTTTTATCTAGAAATCGCATTTGGACAGTTTGCCAGTCTCGGACCCGTTAACATATGGAAAATAAATCTTTTGATGAAAGGCAAATATTTAAAAAAAAAAAAAAAATTAAGGTTCAATATATCCTCTGATAGGGAAGCTTACTCTCAAAGAAATAAATATCTGATATTTTGATAAAATTGTGAAACAAAGAGACGATATCTTTCAATGTGTGCCTTCACTAATTTAAATTTTCTCTTGGAAAATCATAAGCGCTAAAGCAATATTTATATGAGTAAATAAACAGAGGGAAAACGAATCTTAAATTTCTTATAAGACAATATATGCTTAAAATACTTTTTTCTAGTGCAAAAAAATTACATAACATATTTTAGATTTAGTTATCTCTATATATTTATTCAGTTTCATCTTTTAAATAGGATTGGGGTTTGCCATGATAACAGTATCAATGGGGATAGCCCTGTATTATGTGGTCATTATTGCTTGGTGCTTGTACTACTTCTTTGCTTCGATGACGTCATATCTACCGTGGCAAGATTGCGACAACAACTGGAATACCTGTCTGTGTCAAGACGGAAAACGGAATTTTTCACTGCCTGATCCCTGGCTTGGAGCACGCAATGAGTGCTGTAAGAAGAATTCTATTTTTAGGGGGAAATATTAAATCCAAAGACAAGAAATATTATATAAATATTGCATGTAGTTGAGTGTAACATTGAAAATTTTCACCCCAAGAAAACCATTGTCAACCGAGGCGCAGCCGAGGTTGACAATGGTTTTCGAGGGGTGAAAATTTTCAATGTTACACTCAACTACATGCAATATTTATTATATTATACTGAATGTTTTATACAAATACATATTAGAGTGAACCGTGCGCGCATAAATTCCGCGCAGTCGCTAATTTTTTGGAATACCACCCGTCGTCAAGCAATGTTGACTGTTGCTACGCAGGAGGGCGTGGCTTCATTATTCAGCGGGTAGTAGTGTTTTTTATCAAATGTTTCTCGACGAATCAGATTCAAGTAATTTACATGAAAGTATAATATTCAAAAATACAAGCATTAATTTCTTGATATGTTCTTTTCACTTGAATTTTTTCTGCGGTCTAGGATTAAACTAGGAAAATTCTTTACATTATAATATTTGTATCTTTTCAGTGACTTTTGATTATCCTGTAAACACAACCGGAGTTTCTGTCAGTGAAGAGTATTTCAGGTATACATAAGCAAACGAAGTATATATATAAAACCGTATTTTTACATAAAGGAAGCTCATAACACTGAAAAAATGTAAGAAGTGAGTATATTACTGCATTCCAAATCGTGTCTTTTATTGTAGTTTTCCGTTTATTTCTTTCATCAAAAGGCAGATAAGTTCATCTTCTTAAAACTACCACTTGAATAGAACTCTTCAGTGAGCACTGTTTAGAGCTTCCTTAAAAGATTTTAAAAAAACAAAACAACTCATTTCTAACAATTATAAATACTAAGAATGAAGGAATGTTGAAAGATTTCTCTCCCCTTTTCTCAGACGTCGGGTTTTGGAGATCACGGACGGATTCGAGTCCACCGGAGGTGTGAAATGGGACGTAACTCTGTGTAACCTTCTAGCCTGGACGATAATTTTTATAGTATTGTCCAAGGGTATCAAAACACTTGGAAAAGTACGTATTGTAAAATTATGTGCTTCTGAAGTAAAACAGCCGTTTTTCAAAAAGAGCAACTTAAAAAGTTCCTAACTAAAATTCTAAGTAAATTTGAATGTTTTATTTACCAGGTTGTGTACTTTACAGCTATTTTCCCATACGTTTTACTCACAGCTCTTCTCATCCGGGGACTTACACTAGATGGTTACAAACAAGGAATAGATTTCTACTTAACTCCCGATTTGGATAAACTCACGGATGCCAGCGTAAGCTGATTGCTCTAAAGGAACAAAATTTGCAATGTATTCTTGCAACCAATAGATAAGGCCATTCCAAGTTTTTTCTCTGTTTAGCGTCCACCCATCTTTCAAAAACTTACCTACCTATTCGCAAAAACACACAAGCCAAAACATAAAACACAGGCTTAAAAGTCATTAAAATGACGCCCTTCAAATGATGTGATCTAAATAAACAGCTTTAGTAGTAGAAATATCTATTCTTGAGCAAAAACAAAGGATTAAATGCTTTAAATTCACCCAGTGCAACTTACTGTACAGAATTATTCGGAGAAAGTGACAAAATTTTAAAAAATCAACTTAATTAATCAATTTTTGGACACCTGATGTTGTGTGTTTTTTCTTGTATGGGGTGTCAAAAACCAAGGCGCACGCGGACGCTAAACATAGAAAAAACTTGGAATAGCCTAATGTTACTTTAAAGAAGACACGATGCACACATAAAATATAAACATTTCTTTTCATACTAAGTCATGAATAAAATGGAATGTATTTAGGACACATTTAGAACAATTCTCATATAAGCTTGGACTTTCAGTAAGGTGCAGCATTCTCGGTTCTATGTAATTAGCGTCTGTCAATTGGCGAATAGATTCTCACTGGTTAAGAAATTAATAACATCATTATATTGTTATTGACAACAATGAAACGACTTAAGCCCCACATCTTTGCCGGACGAGACAATGTTAATGGTTATTCGATACACTAATTAGCATCTGTCCGAATTTTTTATCCCATGTATATTTCAACAGTGAATGAAACCTTTGTAAATTTCAGATGCTAAATTATGTAACGTCGAGAGTGCCAAGCCTTACTGAATGTCCAAGCTTACCTGTGAATTGTCCTATTATAAAAAAAATAATACTTACACCTGCTTTTTCTAGGTATGGTCGGATGCTGCAGTCCAAATTTTCTACTCGCTCAGCGCTTGTCAGGGAGGACTTATAGCAATGGCCAGCTTCAATAAGTTTGATAACAATGTTCTGAGGTATGCATACTTACAGTAAATACCAAAATTGTGAACATGGCATTTTTCTTACGTCAGGAACACAGGTACTTGTGGACAGGACCCCCCACCCCCAATATTCAACCCCGGGGCTTATTGGACATTTTTTCTCAAAAATTTTATTTATTACACTTATTCATCATGTGTACAATATGAAAAAATCGTTAAAACCCCAAAACAATCGCTCCACAAAAAAAATACCCCACTATACATTAGTGGGGTATTTTTTTGCGGAGCGATTGTTTTGGGTTTTGAGGATTTTTTCATATTGTACACATGATGAATAAGTGTAATAAACATAATTTTTGAAAAAAAAAATGTCCAATAAGCCCCGGGGTTGAATATCGGGGAGGGGGGAGAGGGTCCTGTCCACAAGTACCTGTGGTCAGGAAAGGACAATATTTTAGGTTACTACATGTACTTGTAAATATAATTTCAAAACTCATTGATTTACATGTACCTTTCTAGCAAACCAAGCACATGATGTTTATTTTTTTTTGGTCCAATGTTATTGTATGCTCATCGTGGCATGAATTTAGAAAAAAAAAATCACTAAATGACTAAATGGAATGTACGGTGTTGCTCGGTGCATTTCTGTTGTATTTAAGCAAGAATTTGTACCATCTTCACAACTTTAGGGGTTTTGAGGCAACCCGTGACTGTTAGATATGATTTGAAACAGAATCCAAGAGGTTGCGAGAATGGCGTTTAATGAACGGAAATCATTAAAATACTAGTTGTTTTCCTTATTAGTGATAAATTCAACAAACGGTATTGTTGTTTTTTCAGAGATACGTTTTTGGTGCCATTAATTAATTGCCTAACGAGTTTTTATGCGGGTTTTGTCATCTTCTCAGTTTTGGGATTTATGGCATACGCTAAAGGCGTCACGGTTCCGGAAGTGGCCAAGGGAGGTAAACCATATTTATCATATGAAAACAAACTTGCTAGGACTTTTACAACTCTTGTTTAAAATGATAATTAAGTGTTCACCTCTAGGCAGACTATTAAAGTCTGTGTGTTTCTTTAAATATTTAAAGTTAAATATCCATTAAAGAATATCTTGAAGTTCCGAGTTTCTATTTTTGGAAAATGTATTTTCTGCGCCGTAAATATTTCTAAATTGCACAATTCAGTTTAATTCAATATATTCTAGGTCCTGGTCTTGTGTTCATTGTCTATCCGGAGGGATTGGCTCAAATGCCGGTAGCGCCGTTATGGTCAATATTGTTTTTCTTCATGATGTCGACTTTAGGGTTTAGCTCAGCGGTAATATTTTATAAATTATACAAATGTATCGATATTAAAACTGAGGTATTATAACGCAACAATTAGTCGTTGTTTATTTCTTAAAACAATCATTCAATTTATAATGTTATTTACTAGTTCTCCATTGTTGAAACGGTAATGACTGGTCTTCTGGATGAATTTCCGGCCCTCTCTCGATCAAAATGGCGAGTTCTGGGTTTCCGGTTTGGAATCTGCATGACAGGGTTTCTTTTGGGCTTGCCTATGACAACTAGAGTAAGACTAACTAAAGTATAATATATAAAATTGATCTAGTGAAATACTGATAATTTATATAGTTGTAGTCCTTGTTCTATTTTTGGATCTGTGATCAACACTAATTAGAAAACTATTTTTTGGTCTATTAAGGGAGGTGATTACATGCTGACTCTGGTGGACAATGCTGTCGGTGGATTCCCGCTGCTGTTTGTCGGATTCTTTGAGCTGATTCTCTTATGTTACGTGTATGGTAAGTCCAAGGACCAGAATAAGTACCGTTTTATACAGTTAATATTTTGTTAACATATTAGATGCTTGAAATGTAAATAAAACAGTAATATTTTGTTAAATATTTTGAAATCAATAAAATATATAATCATTTGCAGGATTCTTCAGATTTAAGCGGGACATTGAGATGATGATTGGTGACCGACTCTGTGTCAAGCCCTGCTTCTGGTATTTTGGAGCCTGTTGGTTGCTTATTTCTCCGTTGGCGCTATTGGTCAGTTTCCAAACAAAAAGTTTAAAAATCTACATATCTTCGAAATTCGCCACCTTTTTTGAAAGAAAAATTACAGTCTGATTGTTAGTTTATTATTTTGATTGAATATGTCCCTCTCGAGAATTTTTCACTCATATAGAGACGCCACCACTTGCCGATGGAGAGCTACAAATTTGTTCTATACAGTTTGGCTCTGAGGGCCATTGAGCAGGAAGGGATCTTTTTTGTGCCAGCACCTACTGCGACACGGGACCTCGGTTTAGGATACGGTCTCATCCGAAGGACCGGTCTCCAGGTCCCACAGTGGGATAAGAACCCTCGATATAAGAATTAACTCCTTGCTTTGCGACTCTAGAACAGACGCTCTACTACCCCATACGCCATATGCGGGCGACGTTTAGTATTTTTAATTTAAAATTTCAATTTGATATTTACAACTTCTTAAATTATTACATCTGATACATCTGGCAACTAAAACATATTTCGTTTTATATTTAATTTTTATTTTATTTTTTTTAATTTTTAATGTTAAAAGAAGTTAATGAACACTATTATTTCAATAAATTAATAGTCGGAATGATGTAATTTTTCTTTCTTCTTTCTTTTTACAGGCTGTAATTATCTTTAAAATTGCCCAAACGAAACCTCTAGAAAGTGATGGATATTTATACCCAGACAGTGGTCAGGTGATCTTCTGGTTAATTCAAGTCACGTGCTTGATTGGAATTCCTGGTTGGTTTATATACTACAGCTGTAAAAAGGGGCTTGGAAAGGTAATATACATGTATATCATCACAGTCAAACACAACATTCGATATTTTTGAAGAAGGACTACTTTTCAAATTTCATCCACGAATTTTCATTTCTGATTTTGTTTTATTTTTTTGCAGCCAACAGAAGACTGGGGACCCGCCTTACCTGAGAACAGAACAGGTCGTTATTCCGTCGCTTTCAATGACATCACTTCAAATGGATCCGCCCCTGCAAACGATTACTCTGTTGACATGATGAAAATGCAATCCAAAGAATATGATAATAAAGCTTACGTAATAGAAGCAGGGGACACAACTGCCACAAAGTTCTAATAAGTCACCCAGAATTAAAAAAACAAACTGTTCTCTGTCTCCGTGACCCTCTTAATTAATCGTGATTAGGATCAAAGGACTGAATGCGGAGACGTGGAAAATTCAGCTTTATTTACAGAGCGCGATTATAACAATATGCCTGTCATTTAGAAGTATTTTACCAGCAATATCCTTCTGAATGAAACAGAAGGCATTTAAGGAAATCAAAATAAAAGCAGGTGTAACATATTCATTTACCAAAGGGAAGTAGATCTTGACATTATTGTATAAACTTTTAATAGTTATTATACATTTATAATCAAGTTATATATACTGAGTGTGTTCCATGTAAATAAAATTAAAGTACTTTCTGTTTTTCTGTTTATTGAGGCGACCATATAGAAATTACTATTTGCTGATGCTATTATGATATTTTTAACTAAACACTACATATAGCACATTGCCTAGTCGCACCTTTGATGTAGGTGACGGAAACATCCGAGGTTTGCCGAACTATTATCACAAAGAGCATTGTGACGTCATGCTTTATGACGAAATATATATACATTATCTTATCAACCAAACAAAAGGGCGGCGTAAAGCGTGAGTATAAACAGATCTATATACTACATGATAGTTTGAGATTCAAGAGCAATGGCTTTTTTTTTTTGATATAGAAAAATAGAACAATCATCATATTCTTGCTACCGCTCTTAAACTTGTGTATCAAAAATTTACGCGTAAATACATGTGTAGCATTCCTTGTGCCCAGAAAAGGAATGGAAACATCTATATTTTATGTGTTAAACCAAAGTTTCTGTATCTGTTTAAATCTAAAGCACTGTATAATATGACCTAACCACATTTGCATACAATAAACCACGGTATTTGACGAAAGTAAATCCTTGATTCCCGTAGAACATCTTTGATGAAATAACCCCTCGATCAACTTAATGACATTGTTTCTTCAGAGGTACATGTAGATTTAAGCCAATTTTTCCCATCTTCTGAAACTAATTACAGTTCCTGGAACGAATAATATGAAAAAACTATTTCGAGTTTTTGACTAGAAATTAATTTCTTTCTTGTTTCGTTAACTAGTAAGTTTTTAAAAAGCATTTATACACCCATATTACTGGCAGATTAGCATGCAATTTTTTTCTTATAGGTATAAATAAATATGTCTTTATGCGTTCACATGCGTCAATGTCCATTTAACTAAAACTGTAAATTACAATTAATGAGGCACTTTCCTAGCACTCTATAATTATTTTTTTTAAATCTTGTATTATAACACGTACTCGTAAATTTTGCTACGTTTTGGTTGAAAATAGTTGTACAACAACAAAAAAATGAAATCGGTATTTTGGGTCTACAATTCTAGGAATGGAAATATTTTTTGGAGATCCTTTAATAATTCATATAAGTAGTTTTTGGTTAGAATTATTGTTTAATTTACTTAGTACATGTAAGATACAAGATATCTCCTCTTGTCCTTTCAACAATTTTACACCAACGTTCCTGGCATAATAAAAGTATGATTTGGATAAAATAAAATATTGTGTATGACGTCATGAAAGCAACACACACAAACTTAAACGTAACAATTAAAGTGACGTAATAATTATCACTATAACAAAAGTGGATGCAGATTGCAGACATATTAGCGGTAAATTTCACGACTAAATCACTCTTTTCTTGTTTTTTTTTCTTGACAAGAGAAAACGTATATTCATAAATATTCGTTTTTGATTGTAGACAATCATGGACGTTGTATTGGATTTTGGAAGTGAGCCAGTTAAGGATGTTGTAAGTATTTTGGCATTTTTCACATCTTGCACATCAATATTATGAAGGATTTTTTTAACGACGAATACTGGTAACTACCTTTTTCAACTAATTCATTGCAAAAAATACAGATGAAGTAATTCGTTCAAAGAAATTGGTCGTACATAAATTACCAAAACATCTGCTTTTGAATTAAAAAAAACTTCTTGATGTTTTCAGGATACGAAGCTACAGATTCTCAAATTCGGCTATACTTGGGTTGAAGAAGTTGAAAAGCAAGAAAGATTTATGAAGGTACATTAATTATGCAAATCTAGAAATTTGTCTAGAGCAACAACATAGTTACACGTTTAACTCTGACAAGACTTACATGTCGTTCACAATAGATTTATTATAACTCCCCTTACACATTTAAACATGTGTCAATTGTTTTTCAATATGATTGATTTCCCTTTTTTAAGTTTGAATAAACGTCTTCTTTATATCTTTTTCTAGGAAGTCACCGAACCAGTTTTAGAGGATAAAGATGAACTTAAGAATGAATGTCAATTAAATACTTTAACAACAGAGACAAAGGAAATTCCCAGGTAAGACTAGAACTCTGTGAGTCTTTAGGATTCTAGTTTTACCATGAAAAATGTAATTCTACTACTTATCTTTTTCTCTAAATATTGAATATGTTACATTAAATTTACATTTGGCACCATCCAGTAAATTTGACATTTTCAGTATGAAAGTTTCATTACATGCTTTCACTGTTGTAGAGAGCCAGTCTTGGATTTTGGCGATAGGCCCGTGAGAAATTTGGTAAGGAAACCATAGATCTGCTTTCTTTTGGTGTATCTATTTTTTTTATTCGAGGTATTTATTTTTGAAGAATTAATACTGAAAAAAAAGTTTCCCCAGAAATTATGTTGTTATGATAATAGTAATCAACAATGCTTTTATTGTTGGTATTGATTTAAATGCATATGATTATCGAATACAACCCAATCAAGTACCGACTTATTAACTTTTTTTTTTTACTATATGATTTCATCCGTTTAAACTTTGAATCTTAAATTTTTAGGATGAAAAATTACAAATACTACAGTTCACCTACTCCTGGGCTGAGAGGGTTGAAGAGGAAGAGAAAGAAGCAAAGGTAAAACGATTTGACTGAGGTTGACTGAATTTTAATTTAACAAACTGAATGTGTACTGTCAATTAGAGTATAAGTGATTGGTAATTAAATACTGAGTAATATTGAGTAATATACATGTATATGTAGTACTTCGTAATTTTTTGTGTGAAATAATAGAATTTTACTACAGTTCAAGATTTAATGATCTTGTATGTCGATTACAGTAAATCTCATTGGTATTGACTTTATAGCAAAACATTCTATTTAAAGTTCATAAACCCTCTGCTCACTCATACATATGTATAAAATGTTGCTTGAACCTTGATGATTTTCCAAAAGAAATGTATTTTATATGTAAAATACAAACAATTATAGCATAGCTTGCGGGGCAAAATTGGACAAAAAAGGCACTTCAAGTTGGAAAATATGTAAAGGAATAATAGGCATATATGTCATTAAGAGTTATCTCTTTTATCAGAGTATCAATGTACCTTAAGTGTAATTTTATAAATTTGATTTCTAGGAAGGCAATGAACCAACAGTTGAACAGATGAACAAAATGGAGGTCAAATCCAAAGTAAAGATTCCCAGAGAGGAAAGAAATGATATCCCAAGGTAACACTTTTTCTCTCAGACTGAAATAGCTTTGAAAAATAGTTTATTTGAGTATTACATTTGTACTGGATACTTGTTCCTTCAAATGTTTCTTTCCTATTTAGAATGTAAAATTTGTAAATCTAGTGTATATAAAACAGTGGCTTCAAGTTACATGTAAGATTAAATGTTTACTTTTTTTTTTATTATGAAAGAGAGACAATCTTGGATTTCGGCGAGGGGCCAGTCACTAATTTGGTAAGTAGATCTGATGTTATGTTTTAATGATACTGTTTAATTCAAGAAATTTACTGAAAGATAATGAAAAATGTCATTTTCTAGAAACTATTTAAGCTATCCGTGAACTTTCCAGATTGAAAACTTCTACCTTTTAATGTACTTAACTAAAGTGATGTTAGTTTCTTTGTAAAATATCTTATTTTGGCTGTTATAATTTTAGGAGGAAAAACTAGAAATACTTAAGTTTGGGTACAATTGGTCAGAGAAAGTAGAAGAAGAAGAAAGAGAAACAAAGGTATGGATACATTTATAAAATCTATATGTTTATAACTATATAAAATGCTTGAGTAATTACATGCAAGTACAGGTATATGTCATACAAACTTTTTTTGGAGATCCCAAAGTATCAATTTTATATACGAATATTTTATTTACAGGTGTCTTTCATTTTGAACCAGACCTTACAAAAGGACACAGAACACCAGCAGAGAGTGACTGAAGAGTGCAGAGCAAATCCAGAGATAGCTCCTGACAATGCCAGGTATTAACTTCATAGTATAATCAATTGTTGACATTTGATTGTAATAATGTTAAATTACATGTATATATGCCTAATAGATAAATGAGTCCCTTTTCACAATTACTTGTACATTTGTATGTTGTGGAATATTTTTTTTACTTTTAAATGTCCCTTTATATGTTGGTACTAAAGTGAAGTTTTTTTAATATTAAACAGCAAAACCCAAAATATGTCTCAACCATTGAAAGCCAAAATTGGCACTGACAAGGAAACCAAAGACTTGAAAGATATATGTAGCAAAATGGAAACACAGCAGATAAAGTCAGAGGTAAGGAAAAGACTAATAGTCTTAGTAGGTGTAGAACAGAAACAATGTAAAACATTTTTTGAAGAATCATTAGTGTTGTTACTTGTTAGTTTGTCAATTAAAATTGTCCCTTTTTCTATGTATTATAACATGCAATATGTACAGATTTGCAATTTGCAACTAACAGTTGAATCAATCTAATAACATGAAACTAAAAGGGTTAAAAGATGAGAAATGTTTATTTCATCTGATTAAAACAAAAATAAAATGCCAGTTATTATACAATATATATTTTATAAGCAACAAATTATTTATTTACTGGATTAATTCATTTTTTGATTATTTTTTACAGTTTGAATGCAATGAAAAAGATGAAAATGACAGCTGCTTTATTCCTAGAAAACTCTTTCTTTTTGGAGTGGTAGAATTTAAGGTACGTTCATTGAAGTATACATGTATAAACATTAACTGGAAAGAGTTATAATTTATACGTAATTTAATTATTATGCTTGAGCAATTTGAGAGTAAAACTTCTTTTTTTTAAATAGAGTGAGTGGAATCTGCAGTCAAACAAAAAAGCAAAAAACCCCAGTATTCCTGAGAAATCAACTGATGTGCTTGACTCGTTTACAAATGAATCTGTAGAAAAAGACGTGGTAAGTTCTTGCAATTATAGCATCCAAAGTAAATAACAATACAAAACATTTGTATCCCATTAATTTGTAAGTGCAATTAAAAATTCACGTGTCTCTCATATTTTCTTTTCAGGTAACTGTAAAAAAGAGAAGTAGTATTAGCAGGAAAATCAAAAAGTTCCTTGGATTCAGATGAAAGAAAAATTGCCCTGCAGCGTACAACTCCATATATATAGACTCTAACGATGTATAAATGAAGAATTCCTGTGTTAAAGTTAATCAATTTTGATAATAATTAAAGATCTATCTATTTATTTGTGAGTTTGGGTTTTTTCATTAAAGTTTCATTCAATAAGATCAAACATTTTAAGATAAGTTGTATGTGAATAAAGAATATTCCAATTAGCTAAACATTTATCAGCAGAATTTAGAAGCTTCATCAAAAAATATTAATATATATAAATTATTTCAATTTTAAGATTCTTTCAAATACACGTGTTTTGGACATACAAATGGACAAATTATTCCGTTTAACATTCCATTCTTTTAAAAGAATATCTTGTTGCCAGTATTTCATACTTTCCATGTACTTAGTATATTTCTTCCATAACACTGGGAACGAGATTACAACACAGTGACATAGATAATTTCATGTGTTAGATATACTATGGACTATTCCTGGCGAATTTGACAATAAATTCTTTAAAAACAGTTTAATAAAAAAATACTGGTAACGTGAAATAAGATAAACTGTTTGAGAATTTGAAATAAAATATACACGTAGACATCTTAAGTTGATGAGGTTACATGGATATACAAGAATCAACACGTTAATATGGGTACTATAACCTGAAAGCAAACCATTCACCAAGTCGATGAAAATATCTACAATGTGTTTGAAGTATAAGAGACTGTAAATGCTCAACGGAATCTATTTACAGTTAGTTTCACTTCCATCTGACTATTCAGAGATTTCAAACAACTGCTCTTGACAATTCATAAAAACTGTCCCTCTTAGTATTGTACAGTATTGGTTACCTGAGCCTCATCATTTTCAAACGTTGGATTACTGAACTGAGCATTCGGTTCCTGAGGGTCCACTGTCGATGTTCCATTTTCCACTACTTCTTTATCTCTTGCCTGTCCATTCTGTTCTTCATGATCTATCTTCACTGTATGTTGCACTGGTTTCCCATTTGGTGTGATTTCCATATTTGGTGTGACAACGGTAGTTTGGAATGCTGTGTATTTTTCCATTGGAGGTTGGGATTGACTTTTAATGTAACCGTTGGTTCCGTTTTTCATCTCGCTTCTAGCTTTGTTTTGTTCGCTGTATCTTCCCATCTGATTTTCTGGCAAAGCTGGTCCCCAATTCTTTTCAGGAGAGGTAATTTTGATCAGTAACTTGAGAACAAAAAAATGATAAGAACCTCATTCGATATTGCACTGGAATTCTGATAATGCAGCAGGTTTTCAGACAGAATATTTATCGACTTAAAAAATTATTTCTTTTAATTGTTTAAACTTGGAAGTATTCTCGACTGCAAATATTCTAAAGATAGTGTTATTCGCGGAGATAAGATTGCCATTTACATACATCTCATCACAAGGAACATTTCAGTGGAAACTCAATCGATTTTATTTTATTTATTCTATAGAAAAAAAGGGTGAAAATGTTTATATAGAGAACAAGATAATCAAATCATACCTTTCCAAGACCATTTCTGAAGGCCTCGAAGAAGAAGATGACTGGAATCCATATCAATGGTGCCAGTACCATAAGCCAGCCCAGAGCTTGACCGTAGTCTGGATAAACGTAACTTCCGTCTGTGGCAGGTTTGGTCTGAATAGCTTTGAAAATTATCACAGCCTGTTCGAAAATGTAATTTTTGACTCAGTATATTTATCAAAAGTTTTTCAGGTAGAATAACACTAATCAAACAGTTCAAATATTTGAAGAAAAAATGATTTTAAACAAAATTACAAAAATACTGTGTACATCTTATTTGCAATGTCATCTACAGTAGAACTATGAAATGTCTATAGTGATTTTGGTTCAGCGTTTCTCCACATGGACCTTCGTCGGCCCAATCTTTGATGAATAAATATTTATCAATATATATAAATTGAGAAAGTTTATCTCATAATAGATACATGTAGTACATATGAGTTTACCAGTAGTGCCAAGGGTGAAATCAACAGCCACATGGTCGCAAAGTAGCCGAAGAATATGTTGATGACAATGTTAGAACCCAGCATCATCTCGATATCTCTCTTAAAGCGGAAAAATCCTGAAAGTTGTTAATTTTGAATTTTAAACTCTTTTACACACATCAAATGTCTATGTCAGTTTAATGGACAAATGACATTCAAATCCTACTTACCATAGATATAGATAATGGCGATGATCTCAAATAATCCGACAAATAAGAGAGGGAAACCTCCAACGAATGTGTCCATTAGGTTGAGAGTATATTCTCCACCCTGCCAATAAAAAAATCTACTGTTTTCAAAAGTGTTCGAAAAATTACTCATTGAGTGCAATCTTACGAGAAAGATACCTTTTTTCTTACGCTATATTGGACATTTGTGAATCTAATAACCATAAAATATACTCATTAAGATTAGTATGAAGATTATTAGGGCCTGTTTGTAAGTGAATTCGGTTGTTGAACATTTTCTCTATTAGTTGTTACTTCAGTTTTGCTTTCTTGAGACCTCGATACGTCAGGTGTCCTGGACACGAGTAAACTCGGGACCCCTGATGTTCTGAAGATGTTTTTTTTATATCAAATAATCAAATTCAAATTTTATAACAAATAACAAGTAACATCATTTTCATTCTGTCAAATTTCTATAGATTGGAACTAATAAATCCCGACTATACATATCAGGCGCGGATCTAGAAATTTTTCAAAGGGGGAGGGGGTTGAAGGATTTTTCAAAGAGGGGTGAAGGGGAAAAGAGTTATTATAACATACGTTGTACACATACACATAGTTAAATAACTCAATAGGATACAGGGTGGAGTATGGTTTTTAAAAGTGGGAGGTTAATCAGCCTGGGAAGGGGTACTTGTATGGAAAGTTTTTAAAAAGAAAGAAAAATAAATCTTCCAACCTGAAAATCCTATTTTTTAAAAGGGGGTGGGGTTTCATTTTGTTTTGAACTTTTCACAACCGAATTTCTTTACATATTACAACATTAGCCATTCACTTAACATTTTTTATAGTAAAAAAACAACAAAAAAATGGAACTTTTTTCTCTCTCTTACTTTTTTACAACTCCAAAGGGGGGGGGGGTGCAACTCCCGTAGCCCCCCCCCCCCCATGGATCCGCCAGTGCATATAGCTTACCCTGCAAGTCATCGGTAATCCAAGGAGAAATGCAGTGCCACAAATTCCGGCTCGGAACAAAATCAACCTTTTCTTGTTTTTGAAGAAATGCGGAAATTCATCCACAATCCCTGTAATAACTGTCTCCGTGATTGAAAACTAAAATTATAGAAAGATATCATTTTACACTTTATAAAGTTGATCTCATAACCTTATGAGTGGAAAATTTCTATTCTAAAAGCTGTCAAGAGAGCAATAATATTTGCTTTGCTATAGTTAGTAATTGAAATAAAAGTTTAGAATAAACCTGAGAACTGAATCCCAGGGTGGCCATCATGAAGAAAAATAGAATAGCCCACAATGGAGCCACCTGCATCTGCGCAAGGGCTTCTGGGTAAACCACAAACGTAAGTCCAGGTCCTAGAAAGAAATAAAACTGAGCCAATGATTTTCTTTAAATTTTGCAATCTGCGTTATCGAATTAAGATAATCTGTTGTGCTTTGAAACTTATTAAATTTTGTAGTTTGTATATGTTAAGATTTAAAACGTTTTTCTTCCTATATACTGGAGAGATAGTATTAATACAAGACATATTAAAAGCATGATTTCTTGTGCTTTCATTTTAAATAAGAATTCTTTTTTCAAGAATATTACATCTGTTTTTGGTACCTCCTTTCACAACATTATCCATTGCGACGCCTTTATAATCTGCCATGAATCCAAGTACTGAGAAGATCACAAACCCGGCATAGAAGCTTGTAAGACAATTAATAAAGGGGACAACCAGCGAATCCCTAGAAATAATAATTACAGTTATAGAATAATAATGCTAACTACAGAAATATCTGCACATTCATTTACTATATAAATTGATCGTCAATGTTCGGGGGGATATACAACAGACCTTAGGACATTATTGTTGAACTTATTATAGCTCGCCATCGCAATCAATCCACCTGAACACGCACTGAGAGAATAAAAGATCTGCACTGCTGCATCAGACCATACCTTAAAACCAGTAAATGGCGTTAAAAGCTTCTTCATGGCGACGACTTTATGTAATTGTAAGAATTTGAATGTCTAAGTGGAGCATTTTCTTACACTGGCTTTCGTGAGTTTGTCCCAGTCGGGGGTCAGGTAGTACATCACACCTTCATGAGATCCGCTCAGAGTCAGTCCGCGAACCAACAAAACTGTCAACAAGATGTATGGGAAAATGGCCGTGAAGTACACAACCTACATAAAAAAAATAACAAAAAATATGAGTCTTCGGACCTAAAAAAAAACATTTCATTCATATCTTTTTGGTATTTAAAAATCTTAAAATTGAAAGACCGAGTACTAGTGCATTGTGTACCTTTCCGACCCTTTGGATAAAAAAAAATAACAAATGTGCAGCAAGTTACACAAAATCACATCCCATTTCACTCTTTTTGGTATTTAAAAATCTTAAAATTGAAAAACCGAGTACTTTCTCCCTATTTATAAACACAAGACACGACTATTTCAAAACCTTTTATTTTTTATAAAATAAAAGGACGTTAATTGAAATACTGTAAATCACTTTTTATTCGCAAGAACTTTATTTTCGCGTAATTACGTGAGAGGATATGCTCGCGAAAATTTCATTCTCGTGTATAATAGAATTCCTTAATTAAGCTTATATAACAATGACACATTTCGTGAAAATTATCTCAAAAAGAGTTTATTTCTCTCGAAAATTAAGTGATCTACAGTATTTAAAAGTTTTAAGAACAGTAATCTACGTCTTACGTAAAATATTCGGAACTTGGTGTTCTCTTGGTAGCGTTTACAATTTCTGCGAGTTGGGACACTGCAAAAGACGACAAGAAACGGTAAAGAATTCGAACACTCCTACACTGTATGCAATATAAAAAACTGAAGCTAGACATCAAATGATCACAATATCATTACAGCATTCGGGTCTTTTTCCATTCCATGGATCTGGACTGGAAAAGTTTCTGGTTTTATCAATACACTTGCACGAGTTCCATTCGTTTTCGCAATCCTGCCAGGGCAAATATGACGTCATTGATGCGAACAGGTAATACAAGCACCAAGCAATGACGACATTGTAATAAAGGGCGATTAATGCTGATATAATTGTCATGGCAAACCCAAGTCCTGAAAATAAAAAAAAATGCATTAAAAGTACAGGTTGTAAATAAAATAATTACTTTATGAATCATTGATCTGTACAGACATACAGGTGTTTGGAAGTATGAGAAGGAGTTACATCCGCAAATGACCTACCTTTGAATGCCGGATTCACAACCCATATTCTTATAGGGCCCAGGCTTGCAAACTGACCAAAGGATAATTCCAGAAAAAAGAGCGGAATTCCAATAAGGACCAGACAAACAAAGTATGGAATGAGGAAAGCACCTGTCAAAGTGAGCAGAATTGATTTTCCTTCACTTTGTGGATGATGACAAAATTTACCAGAAAAGGTGTATACATGAATGGATTAACTAGAAAACGTTCACTTCTGATAAAACGAAGCAAACACCTTTTGAGAAAATGTCTGTAAGACTTGTGTTTTTTAATCAAATAACAAATTTTCATGTAATAAATTATATCAGAAAGAAGTCAAAGTTTCTCACAACAAGGTCTCAGAACCATGTTTATAACTAATTAATGTTACTTTTTCGAACACTTCCTCAATTTACCTCCTCCATTTTTGTATGCAAGGTACGGAAATCTCCAGACGTTCCCTAGCCCTACAGCATACCCAATCAGGGTCAAGACAAACTCGATCTGATTAGACCAGGCAGCTCTCGCAGTCTGAGAAAAATCAAAACATAAAATTTTATAGTCTTTAGGGCAATCTGAAAACTAGTATTTCTATACATGTATAAATTTAAGATATTTTTAAAAAAGTAATCTGTTCTGTTAAAGAGACTTAGCTGAAACTTAATGACGTCGCCATTGCTGTGGCTTTCATATTATGGTAAATGTTTCCAAAATTTTATTTTGGCAGCGTATTCGATTTATACTCAAAGTTGTTTGAGGAAGACGGAGAGATAAATAAGTACTGAACTTTCAACAGGACTATTTGTGTTTTAGCTTTCTAATTTCCAGTTTTCTAGGTCTTTGAAAATGGATAGATCAAATGGGTACAGGTGGATAAATAACTTGTTCTAAATATGTACATTGATACACCTGTGGAAGAGATAAACTCTTGACTCAAAATATTATGCACCTTTCTAGTTACATAATATTTGTTTTGCATTGACATTGCCCACTCATGAGATAAAACGAATTCGTGAGTTCCCCAAAAAGTTTTTATTGAAAAAAAAAAACGTTTATTGTTATAAAGGTATGGTACTAAATCAGAATAAACAGATAACTGAGTTAGTTGAGCATTGGGTAATTTGTTTAAACCCATTCAATAAAAAAAACGTTTATTGTTATAAAGGTATGGTACTAAATCAGAATAAACAGATAACTGAGTTAGTTGAGCATTGGGTAATTTGTTTAAACCCATTCTAAATACGACATTAACAAAGACAGTGATATTATGATCTGAAAAAAAAAACCTTTTAGTACAAGTATATCAGTATAAGATAAATTGCAATTAGCCTTTTTGACTTTTAAAAAAAAAAACTCGTTTGTTTGTCAGATTATTTTGAGAATTCCTCCCACTCTTAGCAGTTTATTTATTTATTTATTTATTTTTGCTTACCAAACTTTTTAGGGAAGTCCCCCTCCTTACTTTCGAAACTGTTTCTACGGGCTTAGTCGTAGTGTTTTGACCCGCATTTGTCTTACCATACATATTTTTATTCTGAATTATTAGTGTTGAATGTATGACATAAAAATAATCAGGAGTATAATATTGATCTATTTGAAAAACAATCTTATTTAATAAATGTTCACACTTGAGAAAAATGCTCAAAAGTTGATATCAACGTATTAAAAAAAAATTAAATCAACCTTCACATTTTTTATCTCATTGTGTCGTGGTGACTTGATAGATTTACCAACTGAACTGATAACCGATATATTAAAAATACCAACGTCTAACACGCCTCTACGTCACCTTCATGTCCGTACAGCCAAGTTGTTTCATTATTGGATAACAAGAGGGTCTTTGGCTAAAAATTGCTAACGCACCATAAAAGAAAATTATTTTTCTCTTTTGAAATAAATACTAGTAGGTGACAATTACGAACAGTAATCGATTTCAGATAGTCTATAAACAATAAAAATCTGTAAACAGGTACAAAACACGAATCCGTGGCCATAGGTGGGTTCAGGTGCCTAGGATGTTAGCATTCCACGCTCTGAGCTTCCAACATTGATCAGAAGACGGAATATTCCTTAAAATCAAGTTTAAAAACAAAGGCCTAACAAGTTGAAACAAGTCACACAAATTGCAACCCATTAAGAGGTCATATTTGCTAACAAGGTCATTATAACACCAAAGAATTTACGAAATACCGGTTGTTGAATGCTCTGTAACATCAATTTTTCTGTCAGTAGCTTGCCCCATTTAAAATTGATAATACTCAGAACATGCTTTCGTCTATCGAATAAGTTGGCAGATGTTTACACATATGCAGGTGATGACGGAATATTTTACACGACGATGGAAAAGTTGAAGTAATCTTGTTTGTTATACAATATATAGTTGTTAGTTGTCCCTTGTTGTCTATAATCAGTAAAACGTCCAAATCTGTTGCAGAATATGTAGCATCTCTTATTTCAAGTTCACTGGGATAAACATATGAGTGAAAGTACCGGTAATTATGATCACTTGATAATACCCTAGTACATCGTCGTTATATAAAATGTCGATTTGTAGGCCATATTTAACAAGTATTTTCTCCTTTATTTTAAGTATATTTTTCCTTCTTTGTCCGATTTTTCTTTATTTCATAGTATTGAATATAAAAACAGCATTTGAAAGAAGTCATCTTTCAATAAAAAGATGATCACAGTTGCGTGATAATTTTATGTAAACGCCCATTTATGAATTCATACAACTACATATGAATGATGTCAAAATAAAAACAGATTTGAAAGAAGTCATCTAATAAAAGAGCACAATTAGTGTCCATAGGAATTCATACAACTACATAAATGATGTCAATATAGCACTTTTAATATCAGCAATAGGATTACAGTGACAATTAACGAACCTAATTGTGTTGATGTCATTACAACTACAAGATATAGGAAATATGCCGACTTCCGTTTATAAGAAGCAGTTGCATATATACGATGTATAAGGGTAGTTTGGTTTAAATTAGTTCAGTTGTTCTGTTCTAGAGATCAAATGAAAGTGTGAAAAGTGTACAGGCTCCATTTAACCGATACGCTAAATGCATATGCAAAGTAAATTTGATAGAGTATATGTAAAGACAATTCAGTAATAATCTATGCTCAAAACGTAAACAAAAATTGTCAAGTGTCCATACATTGATGATGCTGGAATGTAAAGCAGGTCAGCAAACAGATTAACAGATTTAGAACAAGATAACTAGAAGCATGTCTCTTATGTTTTATTTTGAACTCCTTCGATGTCGGGGAATGCAAGGGATTAAATTGAATTGCTTGAAAAATAACCGCCTACTTACGCTATGCCTCGAAGTTATTATCTGTCTCTGTGACCACCAAATATGTCAATAAATTTATACTCTTTTGGTAATACAAATACTTAGAGGATATCAATCAAAGTTGGAAGATTCTCTAGTATCGAGTTGAAATTTTCGGGAGAAAAAAATGTATTAACTTCGACCTCATTCTTGTCTTATCCCACTGTGGGACGTGGAGACCGGTCATTCGGATGAGACCGTATAAACCCAGGTTCCGTGTCGCAGTAGGTGCTGGGACGAAAAAAAATCCCTCCCTGCTCAATGGCCCTAAGGGCCGAGTATAGGACAAAAATTTGCAGCTCTCCACCGGCAAGTGGTGGCGTATCCATATGAGTGAAAAATTCTCGAGAGCGACGTTAAACAATATACAATCAATCAATCAATCTTGTCTTATAATGATTTTAAAACTTTTTAAAAAATATATTAAAATCAGTTTTTTTTTAATTTTGAATTACTGTATCTTAGGGAAAGATATGCGAATCACGAAGGACATATTGACAAAGTTAATAAGGATGGATACAGATTTCTTTCAATTTTCATTTCCAGGTGCACCCCTCTCCAATTATCCAAAAACAATATGAATCAAAACAGTTTGATACTCGGTCTTCCAAATATATACTATATTGACCATATTTTTCTATACGGTCCAAAAGAAAGTTAAACGTACGATGTCGGTTTATCTGAACTGAATCTTACTGTGGTAGATTAGATATGTTCCATAGGGTTATCAGTATAATAATTAATAATATGTGCAAATATTTCATTCTTAGTTACATGCTTTTTAACAATATTAAATCATACGTAAGATATTACATGTATTTGGTTTCTAAGCGTGTTCTTGTTTTCTTTTCAGGTTGGTTTGGAAACAAATTGACTAATTACCTTGTTTGTTGAAATGGCCTCGAAGGGGAAGCAAAAAAGAACCATGTACCTAATGAGGTCATACGTACATAAAGTTTTTTATACAGTTTATCTGAATCATGTAATCAACTGGAAGGTAGGATACGGAATAGTTTGGTTGCCGTCCAGATAATTTTCACCTTACGTGTAAAGTTGAACCCGGAAGAAAGAATTACTTACAATGTACATGTATATATACTTTGGTCAGCAACAAAAAGTCAATATTTACTAAAAATCAAAATATACTCCTGGATAAGAAAATATATAGGCATTTGAACCTTTGTTATCTTAAATACCCCGGTATGCTGGAGTTGTGGATGTTTGAACTTTCCTCCACTTTCAGCTTTTTAGTTTTAATGTCTCGAAATCTCGCATATCTGAAGGGTTTTGAATCCGAGATAACGAAGCTAGGTCGTAAATATACGTAGGTGTACAGGATGAAACAGTGAAGCTTGCGATTGCACTGTTCATCGAAACTGAGAAAAGACCCTAGAGTCAATCTGTCTGATGTTGGTATTTTTTGTCTGGTCTATCCAAAGGCGTTGGAGCCGGGGGGGGGGGGGGGGGGCTTAGCCCCTCCCACTTCTTGTTCAAATATAATCATATAAGCATTGAAAATTGGGGCTTACCTTTTTTCGTTGGTTTAGCCCCCCCCCCCCCCCCACCCCACTTTCAATTTGCTTCCGACGTCTATGCTATCAGTATGGTGCGGGAAAAATTATTTTTAGTTGGGGACAACTTTACTATGATGTTATGCTTTTTCTTTGACATTTTTGCCGCAAGGTGTCGCTTTACTTAATAAATATAATAACGTAAAAGTCTTTCAAAACGTTTTCCTCCTATATTTTTATTCTTATATCTATTAATCTCGAATTAAAATTGTGTGAGTTAACCTAAATATACAATGTATTATATCAGTTTTAATTTCAATGAACAATATTGCAATGGTTACTAAAAATAGAATATTATATGGAATTCTTTCTAAACACTTTCCCTCCTTGTTCAATTGATTGGTGCACAAGTGGACTGAATCAATAACTATAATTCTAATTAACTGGTGCGGACATGGCTACTTATACATAAATATTATTAGAGAAAATCTTTTTATAATGCTTATCTTCCTGCAGTTTTATTTGATTTAAATAGAACTTGGTACATAATAAAATAGGAGGATACATGAATATATTATAATTGTTGTTCAAGTCCAGGTGCTTATTTTGTATTCTTTATTTTGAGTTACAAGCCAATATTCAATGTTGGCCAAATAACTAGACATGAATATATATTTAAAAATTATAAATTCACTGCTTTATTCGTACAGAAAAAGTTTGTATGAAGTGTGAATACTGTAAATATAACAGAATTAGAACGTCATATAGTTACACTCTAAAATATATAGATAGTAATATACTAGTAAACAAAAGATCCCAGAGACTTAATGAATTAATTACAATTTAATTAAATTAAATTATACCCAAGAAATAAACTTACCTCTGGCATTTTCGTCAATAATGATTCACATAAACTTTTTTTCTGACAGAATTTTCACTCAAAAGGGTGGAATGTCTAGATAACAATTTGGTCTTTCATTGGCTGATTTTGAACTCGATGATTTCTCTTAGGGTAGGTGCTTTTGGTTTGTTTATCTCCAAGGCTGTTCACTTCATGCAGTTTCGGTACATAATAATGGGTTTACAATTTATACATGTTTAATCGTCACCGGGAAAGATTGTCAACAATTGATAATATGAACGATAATTAAACAATATTTATCTGCAAGAAAAGTACATACATCATGACGGACAACCATCACTCGCACGTACGTCTACAGTCATGTATATGAATTCGATGCTGTGTCTAAGAATTTTATCTGAGAAAAATGATTTTTAATCTATATAGGATAGAGGAATTCTAATTCCCATCAAGTTGTTTATAATTTTGTTGAAAAATTACCTTCATTTTGCTAAAATGGCAGAGGAGTTTTGAAAATTGCCGGCTCAAGGTATTTTATAGAGCCCGGCGGAGCAAATAACTGATAAACTACAAGGCATGCACTTTTTTTAATCAAATAGTTTTTATACCATTGATGTAAGAGAATTCTAAAAGATGATTCTATATTTTATCTTTGTCTGAATAGACATGATAGAGGAACAATGAGTGGGGAGGGCAGAGTGTTAGACGTTCCTCTAAGCGACTTGTACATGTGTTAATTGAACACAATAACAATTCGGGCGCGGATCCAAAAAAATTTCGGGACCCCCCCTCCAAAGAAATCCAAGCAATATTTCCTGACAATACAAAAAAAACCAAACTAAAATCCTTTCACAAATGTGAAAAAACTATTTTCGTGGTGGAGATTGTTTGTATGTTCTGTAACGTCCCTCTCGAGATATGGATAAGCCACCACTTGTGGAGAGCTGCAAATTTTGTCCTACACTTGGCACTGAGGACCATTGAGCAGGGAGGGATCTTTTTCGTGCCAGCACCTCCTTCGACACGGGACCTCGGTTTGTACGGTCTCATTCGAAGGACCGGTCTCCATATCCCACAGTGGGATTCGTACCCGCGACGTAAGGATCAACCCCATTCTAATTAAAATTAGATGTTAGATTCGACTGCATACTCGCTACGTTAATTAAAAGAAATATTTGCGTTTGAATGACCCTGCATGTTAGTCGATTAAACATAGAAAAACATGTACAGTGGAGTCGCCAATTCCGGGTCGTCTCCTATTCCGGGTCACTCGTGTGTATTTTATGCCATATTGTTAAAATTTAAGCGCAAAAAACTTAATGAATACGCTGGTCATGAAGAATTGGTCTTTCTGTATGTAATTAATTACAACATTTTGAATATCAGTTTTAAGAGAGCATCCGACAATCGAAATTCTGAAACGCACACATTAAAGACTTGAATGTTTCTGTTGCGGTGACGGGCTACTTTCATTTTTGTTCGACGCAGAAAGGCTGATATAAAAGTCCTAGATAAATAATAAGAGCTCGAAAGTATTGCAAATGCATTAAGTTTTAACTCAGAAATCAATCATAATGATCGCTTCTCAAATAAAATTATAATGATTATTAAATCAAATAGGAGTAGTTTCTCCATTTGCGGGTCACGCAATCTCGTGGCATGAACACGTCAAAATTCTATGTACAAAACCAATCGACAACCATGTATTAACCTTGATTATCAAAAGTATTCTAACTGGAAAATATTTTTTCTAAAAGTTAAAATCGAGTTAACCTTTCTAATGCACTTTTTAAATAAATTAATTTATAATTGTATTATTTTTAATCCTAATACATTTTTTTTTAATTCTGCATACTGCAATTTGTTTTGTTGTAATTGTTTAAAAAAAAATAAACATATTTCTGTGGTTGTTTTACTTTTTTTCCAAGCTGCATGAATTGTTTTATGTTTCCACAACATAAAAATCGTGTTCCGAAACGTTCCGTGAATATTACACGACCGTGAAGTCACATGACCCGGAAATGGAGAAAATGATTCGTAACTGGGGAAGCTAGGCCTTGCTGAAATACCCCTGTAAATATTGTTCCCTTGTAGCTACTTTGAAAACAAAAAGGTGTTTGAATGACTCACTATTTGTTCTTTCAATACATATATTGCATAAAATATGAATTGAACAGATTTGCAAAATATCAACGAAACACCCTGACGTGACCCGGAATTGGCGACTTCACTGTACATGTATCCTCATTAAATCAGAGGTTTAAAACGTGTTTTGGATTTATATGAATAAACAAGCTACAATTTCACCTGGTATTAAATCGATTACAATAAAAAAAATTGTATTTGTGTTTTGTTGTTAACCTTTCTTTTATGTTACACGTGCGTGTACATCATTGCAATCGAATCGTTTCTAGCGCGAATTCTCTGACACCGATGAACCGGAAGTGCTAGTGTGATGCGAAATTCGAAAGATGTAAATGATGTTTATGTTAGTTGCAATGTTTATTTGAGGTGATTTATGAAAAATTACGGCATATCAGGTGATCAAACCACCGAGTTATATACTGAACAATATATCAGCAACACAAAAACAAACCTTCCCCGTCAATGTAAAGCTGGATGGATAACAAGACGAGTTTGGACATGTTCCTTAACTGTTTATGCACTTGGTATGTTTTCCTTAAAAATGTGTTATATGCTAAAAAAGTTTGATAAAATAAAACAACAGGTCCAGGACAATACCCCGATAAAGGTATATAGCTTGATAAAGCTATATAGTTTTATCAATGATGTTTATGTACCTTGCAATGTTTATTTGAAAATTCATTTAAAAATTAATTATTGAAAGTCGAGTTCTGAGTTGTTGTCAGTAAATTCACCCATGCATGTAAAATACTCAAACACAAACAAATCAGTATAAAAACTTGTCGTGTGAGGAGATGTTATTTTATGCTTTCTTTTTCCTAAAAATGTGTTTTTTACACGAACACACTGACAAAAACTAGTTTAGAAAAATCCTTAATTTAATTTTTAAAGAATTTTTTTGAATTTTCATTACATAAAATACCTTGATCAATTATTATACCTTGATAAATGCTATATAAGCTTTGTAAAAATATTGAAATACATCAAGTAATATCAGTGACCTATATACTAGTTATAGTATAATTAATATATAGGTCACTGGTAAAATATTCACTATATAAATCATGCATGTATATGGACTTTAAATCATCAGTAAAAATAGTTGATGATTTTATTTGATAATGTTTTAAGAGTTTATTTCTCTTCAATACAGAACATGGAGAAGAAGCAGCCAAGGGTTACAGCGAAGAAAACAGCTGTCCCTGGACAGGGCAAAAATAATGAAAAAGCAGGAAAAGTAATTATACATTTCATTTTAATAAACATTAAAAAGTTATTACCACCCACAAGGTATTGAGACAACCTTAACAAAATCAGGTATATAGTATAATGTTTTACTAAATACCTGATTTTGCTAAGAAGATTGTCTGAAGACCCTGTGACAACATCAAGGTGCACATTTTGTTTGTATGGAAAATTTTGTATAATTCTAAATATCTGAATGAATTTTAATCATCTTTCAATTGTTAAATTGAAGTATATCTTTGAAATAGCATATTAGTCTGTGTATATTTACAAAAAGTTGAAATTTGACACTATACAGTCTATACTATAGTGAGGAAAACAAAACTCACCACTCTAAGATAAAAAAACAAAACATTGAAAATAAGTGGAGATGGTATTTTTACTAATATCTATAGGCAAAAGAACATGTAAAAATATTAGGTTCTAGTTGGAATTTCATGGGACACCATCTTATCTTTCACAAATGTATCAAAATAAATACATGTTTTAGGTTTCAATTTCTCCATGTTCATATGAATTTATGATGATTGATTAAAAATCTTATTTGTAGATTGGAAAAGCAAAAACAGTTGGAGTGAAGTCAAAAATTAAAGCAGTGCCTGGAAAAAAGTATTTTTTATTCTTGTACATTTTTATATTCATATTTCCAAAGAAAACTCCTTATTAGTATATTATCTTTTTTTGATTTTCAACTGTAACAAAATATTAAGTTCTTTTTTTATGAAATTGTAAGAGCATGTTTTATGAAAGTTAACCCATTTGGGAGTTGTCATGAATAATGTATGGAGAAAAGTTAAATTTAAAACATTAAAATGAAATTAACAGGTAATAATTTTTTTTGAAAAAAAATATTTTAAAATGTTCTTAATTTTGCAATAGGCAAGCAGCCAGAGTACCAAAGAGAACCAAGCCAGCTCCACATGTAGAACCAGGCTATACTCTGTACTCCAGCTTGTCTGAGGAATCATCCACCCAGGAAACTTGTGTCAGGCTTTTTAATCAGCTGAAAGAGAAAAAGAAAACAGGTATCAAGAGTTATCTTTCTTTGTACAATTACTAAGATGGTTTCATGTTCTATAAAAGTCTGACATATCAAATACCTATGGATTGCCACATGTGCCAATCCCTACACATTAAAAATAGTAACCATTTTTGCCCAAGTCCATGTAAATTTTATTTTAATTTAAAAGTTTCAATGTAGCTTCCTTTGAAGAGACTGTAAACAAATCACGTTATGCTATGTATTCATTTTAGGGCTTTTGGCAGAAAGAAACTTCTCCCAATTCAAGTATAACCCTAAATCTCTTGCACAAATAAGCATAAATAAAAAAATTTAGAAATGTGCTAAACCAAATCTACACTGACTTCTTAAAAATCAATTTCCATCAAATATCATACACGCTAAATAGAGTACACTAACCAGATCTTCTCTTTGTAGAGGAGGTGGGCCCCCAGACACGGTTTAATACACGCCTGTCCTCCTCCACACCGGACCCAGACCGCCTGTATGTGGACGTGGACCAACAGCTGATTCCAGAGAGGGACACCACCTCCCCACTGTGGAAGACAGTACTGGCATCTCAACAAGTATCAGCCACCAGGGGTAAGGTCTAGACATGAAATTATTTCTATGCTTAGTTCAGGGCTCAAAAATTACTTTTAGATACAGAGGCTTGGGCTTGAAAATTTGTACATGATGTGGAAAATATAAATAAAAAAACAAATGTAAAGTTTATCTGTTTATTATTTTTTTTTATACCCCCCGCAAACGAAGTTTGGGGGGTATATAGG